TAATACCATCACACACAGCTTCGAATAGTCTATAAAGTTATTCTCAGTTATACATTTCATCTCAGTTAAGATATGGATGATGACATGTTGAAACAGTTGAGTGGGGTCTTCCTGAGACTTTGAGGCAGTTGAAGATGACCAGATATTAAAGGGACAGTTGTTTCAGAAAAAGCACTTCAGGAATGGCTGACATAGCCATTTTCTGGATAGTATGACAGGTTAGCTATAGTAACAGGCACTTCATATGGATTTTGTTGCCTTCATTACACTCTGCTAATTGACCTGAGGGACTACCTTTCCTCCTCCTCCTTTGTCAATGCACCCAAACTACTGAAAGGTAGGCACATCAGGACCACATAGCAGAAACCATCTCACGACCTTTTCCACTTGTGGACACAGAGCAATAAGCATTATTTTGTGGAGACCTATAGACCTAGTGAAGATAAAAAATGATTGGACACATTTAGTTGACGTACTCTTATGCAAATGCCAGTATTGCAAGACAAGCATTCAGTAGTTTATGGACAGCAATTAAATGGCACCCTTTACCGAACTGCACGTTTTCATCAATTCCAAACCAAGAAGAAAAAAAATGGCCCTTCTTTAATACAAAGTCGTGGGTCCTCGACACTTTGCATGTAAACTAGTGTTAGATCTATTTTCCTCTCCTCTATAACTGTCTTTCTCTCGTGCTTTCCCTGTTATGTGACCCTCTTTCTTTCCTTCCCCTATTATTTCAACCACTCCTTTTTTCGGTTCTCCTAATGTTCTTCCCCCGACTTTCTTGTTTGTACGTTTTATTTGTGTAATTGTGCATGTACAAGTGTCACTGACTCGATGGATATGTAAAAAAAATAAAAAAGATTTCAGCTGCTGAAGCCATGCAAAACGTTTTGAAATGCCCTTAAAATATGGAAGCTGTTTTCTGAATGCTTTATATTCTTTCTGCTGTAAAATAATAAAAAATGAAGAAAACTCTACCAGTTTGATTTAGTCTTCTTTTCCCACTACAGTACCATCCACTGCATGTACTTTAGCCACATTTTGTTGTAATAACCGACAGCCAACTTATTTACATGCCTACTAGTTGTTCTACAGTATATTAACACTGCATAATGTTAGTGGTATAAATTCAGATGTTACATGCATTTTTATATGGGTAATATCATTAATTATGTAGTTCTGTCTATCTGATACTCACTTCACACCTATAAAGGGCATTATCCTATTCAGTAGACTAGAATGTGGCAATAAAAACGCATATGGTATTTTACCTCAAATCGCAGTTGACAAGGCAATCTCACAGACACAGTTACCTCAGATACTGCCCAGGCAGTAAATTCAGATTCAAATTCAGAAAACGTTCATGTCCTCAATGAGGCGATTCATTTTGCACCAATCACAATACATACAGATGAAAAATACATATTTAAAAATAACATCAGAATAGGGTATTGAGTGCAATTTCATACAAATGTTGATTATATTACATGTACATGTTGATGTGCTAAAGTGCAATTAGTCCAACATCTTATTTAGTTGCAGTATTGCATTCGGAATAAAGTAATTTCTGGCTCTGTTGATTTAGACTTTTGGTTGTCTGTACTTGCGGCCAGAGGGAAGCTAGGGGCTAGAATTCGGGGTGGAGTGGGTGGGAAGAGTCAAATGCAATTTAGTTTGCCTTCTGGGTGGCTCTGACTAGATAGAGAGATGACAGCTCTGGCTGTCGCTGCCCAATGATTTTCCCTCAAAACCTGACTATCTTACTCAACTGATTTTTCTGTGTGACCTTGGCCTGTCCCAAACTAGCAGGTCAGGCTGTCAAGCTAGTGCCAGGGGGGTCAAAGCTGTGGACTAACTGATCCACAGAGGTCCAACTTACTGGAGTTCTGAGTCACTGGAGTAATACAGTCATAGTCAATGTCCCCACTGATGACTGCAGTTCTTCAGTCCAGGATGGAGAAGGAGAATAGGCAGTTGTCTACTATAGATTAATGGGAAATGTGGCAGGTACAGCGTCACGTCAGGAGGGCAGTGAGGGGCTGAGAGATCACCTGCCTGGGGGTGACCCGTGTGTCTCAGGGATTGGTCAGGGGAGACTATAAAACAAATGTTGGGGTACGAAGGCTTCACTTTACTTCAGTGGAACTCACTACTGCAATCAGCAAGAACCCAGAATAATCAACAACACACAGGTGACTCAGAAGGTAGGACTATATTGGGTTCTTATATCTACTGAATGTATTAGAAAGGAAAAGTTTATATTGTACTTACTGCCTTGATCTTAGTTATGCTAGTAGGCCTATGGGGAATGTCTATTTTACATATACTTTGTGATGAGGACTCTGATAATTTGAGATGCTCCTCTTTGTATCATAGGAGAGATGATGAAGCTGGGAATGCTGACACTGTTGGTGCTGTCCCTATGGATATGTGATGGCAAGCCATTGCAGACCGATTCAGAGACCGCAAATATCCTGACTCAAATCTTGTTTATGGACATGGGATGACATATTAAACGCAAGGTTGCTGGCTTAATATGTCATGGAACAACTGTGGTTAATCTATTTGAACTGCTTTATTAAATGGATTATTGGCTGTAGCTTGTGTAAAGATGTTACATAGGCAAGTAACTTCTGACACACACTGTCATTTGGTGTTTGTTTTGCATCCCCCCCCCCCCCCCTCCCTTCTTTACTCCCTCCCATACTCCCTCCCTCCCTTGCCATCACTGCCTCTATCCCCTAGCTTTTGGAGCTCTTCCAGTCAGTGGGCTCTCTGGTGCCAGGAGGTGAAGAGGGGACCAGGTTGGAGACAACCAGTGAGGATGGAGCATGGCCCAGTGCTTAGCAGAAGAGAGATCTCTCAAGGCTGGCAACTTCATTAAATAGTACCCGCCAAACACCAGTCTCAACGTCAACAGTGAAGAGGCGACTCCGGGATGCTGACCTAGGCAGAGTTGCAAAGAAAAAGCAATATCTCAGACTGGCCAATAAACAGAAAAGATTAAGATGGGCAAAAGAACACAGACACTGGACTTTTTCTTTGCAACTCTGCCTAGGTCAGCATCCCGGAGTCGCCTCTTCACTGTTGACGTTGAGACTGGTGTTTTGCGGGTACTATTTAATGAAGCTGCCAGTTGAGGACCTGTGAGGCGTCTGTTTCTCAAACTAGATACTCTAATGTATTTGTCCTCTTGCTCAGTTGTGCACCGGGGCCTCCCACTCCTCTTTCTATTCTGGTTAGAGCCAGTTTGCGCTGTTCTGTGAAGGGAGTAGTACACAGCATTGTACGAGATCTTCAGTTTCTTGGCAATTTCTCGCATGGAATAGCCTTCATTTCTCAGAACAAGAATAGACTGACGAGTTTCAGAAGAAAGTTATTTGTTTCTGGCCATTTTGATCCTGTAATCGAACCCACAATTGCTGATGCTCCAGATACTCAACTAGTCTCAAGAAGGCCAGTTTTATTGCTTCTTTAATCAGCACAACAGTTTTCAGCTGTGCTAACATAATTGCAAAAGGGTTTTCTAATGATCAATTAGTCTTTTAAAATGATAAACTTGGATTAGCAATCACAACGTGCCATTGGAACACAGGACTGATGGTAGCTGATAATGGGCCTCTGTACGCTTTTGTAGATATTCCATTAAAAATCAGCCGTTTCCAGCTACAATAGCCATGTACAACATTAACAATGTCTACATCTATCTCCAGTGCTTGTAAGACTCTATGCCATATGGCCTCAAATTGCGCTATTCTGTTTTTCTCTATCGTCCACACCTTTTCAATATTTAAATAATAATGCATTTGATTCTTCCACTGTCTTAACGATGGAGGATCATTTGATTTCCAGTTTTTAAGTAAATGTTTTTTCAAAATGATTGACGAGAAAAGTATGGTCCAACCTATTGGCACCTTCATATGCCATGTCTTCAAATATGCAGATATACAGATTAAAAGTACATTTACATTATACAACTTCTGACAGACAACTTTCTAACTCCGCCCATAACTTTTAGACTTTATAGCACTCCCAGAAGGCATGAATTATTGAGTCATTGTTAATTTTACACTTAAGACATGACTGCCATTGTGCTGTAGAATTGGTGAATTTTGTCTCTTGTATAATACATTCTATACATTAGTTTATACTGGATTAAGCGTACATTTTCGTTAACTGTAATTTCATTAGTTATGTTCCAACACTCGCTTTTCCAATGGAGTGGATGAACTGTTTCCGGGGTTGATGGACAGTCTTGCAACACAATGAGATTATACCTCCGTATCATTTACTAACTAATCTGATATTCAAAATATCTGCTTCTCAGAACTACAGTAAACAGTAGGACTTCTTTGCATGTCTTCTACACTGAACCACATACACTTATGATTGAAATAAAGACTACATGTAGACATTATATCATGTTCTTATTCCATCTCTTTTCAATGTTTATTTTGTCACATTAGACGGTGCATAATTGCATTTGGTAGTTCAATGAGTCATTGAATGTTGAAAAACAATTCAAATCTCTTTTAAAAACATACTTTTTTTCCAGGGACCAGACATCCAACCAAGAGCTTTTCCAAATAGAAGATTTTATTACTATTTAATATACAGCCATTTAGTTCTTCATCCAGGTCATGTTTGCTCAGTAACATCAAACAGTTATGAATATTTTAAACATACAGGCGTGATAGGGAAATATAGAAACTGGATCAAATGTAAACAGTCCTCAACCATACTGTAGCATATAACCTGTGGGATATCCATTCAGTCCATCACTGTCTGTGTGTAGCATCCGTGTATTTGTGCCTTCCTATGTGCGTTTCTGTGTGCGTTCCTGTGTGTGTGTGTGTGTGTGTGTGTGTGTGGATTTACATATGTGCGCATGTGTATGCTTTTTCGTGTGCAATAGAGGGGTTGTGTCTCAGTACAAGCCCCATCTCTTTGTCATAGTGCATGGTGGGAATGCATTTTACTAAGGACTGTTGACTGGGTTAGACACAGTACTTCCAGAAACACTCTGAATTGCCTCCTCTCTTCCTGAATTGCTTTCTGATGCCAAAGAAGCGGCTGAAGGGATTTAGGTGACTCTGTTTCTCCAACAACACCTGAAACAGAGAAGAATTTCTGCTGTAGTACATCATGTGTGCTCCCAAAACAAAACATGATAGTATCTCAATATATGCTTCTTATCTTCTATTAGTTAAAAAACTCACATCTGTCTTCATCTGTCTTGGTAGTAGTCCAGCTACACTGAGACCTGAGGGAGACGAAGGGTGAGAGAGGATATGTTGTAATATTTATCTTGAACTGAATTATCACAGTCTATACATTTATGATGTAACTGTTTAGGCACAATACCAACTAGTTTGTGTGATCTCACCGTCTCTTCTCAGCTCTCCAGACAGTAGGGATGAGTATCTGAGTCCAGGGCCAGACTGGGGCAGGTATGTCTGCTCAGAGAAATTCAGCTCGTCTGGACTACCTGCACCACCATCCTCCGGAGATACTGAGCACAGTGAAAACACAGTCAACACACAGTCAATACACAGTCAAAACACAGTCAACACACAGTCAACACGCAGCAATCTAGTCTAGACATACACTTTGGCTCTTCACTCTGGCTCTTCTCTCTCCACTGAATAATCAATGATAAAGGAACAATTGTGTTTATGTTAGTCCAACCATGTTGATTAATGACTAATAACTAAAGAAGCAGCAACACTTTGATGGCATTAAAAGTGTATGAAACATTGTCACCATAAGCAAACAGCATATTGCACATTCAAATTAACACTACTACAGTTCTCAGACACAATTACACTTTGACACATCAACCAGGTCTCAAAGCAATTATACCATAACAGAAGGTCACTGATTACAACTTGCTTGTAATCCTCAAGATTGAAGTTCAATTAAGACTCACACAGGCCTTATTTACATCTGTGACTATTGAACTACACTGCCTAATAACCTCATAGTACAACAGCCTTTCCCAGCAGCTTGGTCTGTTGAGTACGTTTCTAAGGGTGGAGGATCCGATACTCACCAGGACCCAGGTAGGGCATCTCTGCAGAGTCTGTGATGGGATGGGCCAATAGCGGGCCAGAGGCTACCAGCAGGAAGGTCCATGATAGGAGCAGGTTACACATCATCTCCACAGGCCGGTTGTGTCTGGGTCTTCTGGGTGGGTGATGGGTCCTCCTGAGGTCTGGAGAGAGTTGTCTTCTCTCTGCTCTCTCCCCCAATAGGTTATATACCCCATCGACTGCCCCCACTCCACCTCACGTCCCCACTCCGTCCTTAGTGTTACCACAATAGGGTGACATTACCATATGCCCATCTGATCTCACTCTCTCTCTCTCTGTGTATGATAAATCAACATCCAGTCACTCAGATGAGTTATTGGGAACTATAAAAAGGACCGTGGGTCTATGTGTCAGGGCCAAAGATGTGTTTTACCATCCTGGTGGATTGATTGACTAGTTTGACTGAATCCGTAAATTGGATTTGCCCAGGTGTTCAGAACACCCTCCTCTCATCTGCCTGTGGAGGGGGATCAGGTGGATAGACTAGAGCAGACAAATGGCTGTTTATTTTATTAATTCATTAACATGCTCAGTGACTTCACATTCATGAAATTAACCGACTCAATGCGTGACTTGCATGCTTTATGGAACAGCATTTAGCTCTTTCACCTCAGCTTGCTATCCAAACACAGGACTCATTGGTCGCGGTTCAATGCATTGAAAGCAGTTAGTAGGAGGTTATATAGGGGAGAGTGGGGTAAGGTGAGCCAATTTCTACATTCAGCATAACTCCGTCAAGGGAAATATAGTACTCCTTCTAACAAAGATATCTACATATATTTCAGGAGGTTGTGTATCCCTGGAAATAATCAGAATTCATGTAAACATAACAGTTAAGAAAACATAGCTTGTCCGGGTATGGGTATGTAATGTAAAAGTGGAGGGTAGGTTTAGCCGTGGGACAGGGTAAATTAAGCCACCTACATTTCTGTACTGAATGAAATATGACCACAATCAATGTTTTGTCTTTTAATCATTTTAAGGATCTTTTAACACTGGCTTAACACCTAATGAACACTTTGTGCATTTTAAAAACGTTTAACATAGGCCAGGCCTGGTTGTTACCTCATATCCCAGCGATAATGCCTTGCATTATGCCTGGGAAGAAAACACTTCAATTTACTCAACTTGCCATTGGCTCAACTTACCTCATGGCCATTGGCTCAAGTTACTTACACTACCAGTCAAAAGTTTGGACACACCTACTCATTCAAGGGTTTTTCTTTATTAGAATAGTAGAATAATAGTTTAATCATAGCGCTTGGTGGTTTTTGCGACTGCACTTGAAAAAACTTTCAAAGTTCTTGAAATGTTCTGTATTGATTGACCTTCATGTTGTAAAGTAATGATGGACTGTCGTTTCTCTTTGCTTATTTGAGCTGTTCTTGCCATAATATGGACTTGGTCTTTTACCAAATAGGGCTATCTTCTGTATACCCCCCCTACCTTGTCACAACACAACTGATTGGCTCAAACGCATTAAGAAGGAATGAAATTCCACAAATTAACTTTTAAGAAGGTACACCTGTTAATTGAAATGCATTCCAGGTGACTACCTCATGAAGCTGGTTGAGAGAATGCCAAGAATGTGCTAAGCTGTCATCAAGGCAAAGGGTGGCTATTTGAAGAATCTCAAATATAAAATATATTTTGATTTGTTTAACACGTTTTTGGTTACTACATGATTCCATATGTGTTATTTCATAGTTTTGATATCTTCATTATTATTCTACAATTAGAGATATGACAACAGTGCAGACCAGTTGACTGCCAGGCTTGGTCTGCGTTCCATGATGATTCCATGAAGTGGGCTACATGTCCCAAATTATTGAACAACTTGTAATATGTTAAATATTATCCACTATTCTCCCGAGTGGCGCAGTGGTCTAAGGCACTGCATCGCAGTGCTAGCTGTGCCACTAGAGATCCTGGTTCGAATCCAGGCTCTGTCGTAGCCGGCCGCGACCGGGAGACCCATGGGGCGGTGCACAATTGGCCCAGCGTCATCCAGGGTAGGGGAGGGAATGGCCGGCAGGGATGTTTGTAGAGCATGGCGTTTACAACGCCAGGGTTGTGGGTTCGTTTCCCACGGGGGGCCAGTATGAAAAAAAATTATATATATATATATATAAAATGTATGCACTCACTAACTGTAAGTCGCTCTGGATAAGAGCGTCTGCTAAATGACTAAAATGTAAAATGTATTGCTAGCAACCCTCAGGATCAACCACATGGACGTGACAGAGGAAAGAATGGGAACAATTGAATGTAATGGAATGATGCCAAATGTAGGCTACAAATTGAAGGGAACTAACACTAAAGTGACAGTTAAAAATGTGTGTGGGTATTAATGATGGTGGCTACCAATAGTGGCTAATATTTAACATGATACAAATTGTTCAACAAATTGAGGAAATTAAAACATTCTAGAGTGCACAAAGGTTGTATTTGGCTTACATCTCATTTGGCTTGCAATTCCAAGATTCATCCCTTTAAATGATAGGGCCATACAATTTAGATTCTGCATAAAGACACAGCATTTCATATTTCACTCTGGGAACGGGGCACACATAGCCTACCTGTCATGGTGATATGCTTCAGTTTGCTGCCATATGACATTTGTCTCCAGTGATCATAAGGTAAAATGTATCTAAAACAATTGTAATTTATTTACAATCCCTTTATCCAAACGGATTACTCATTTACCTAACTCTTATCAATAGCTCTTATCAATGTGTAAATTAGGCTACAATGTATGGAGAATGGTGTTATTTCTATCTGAAAATTAGATGTTTTTCCACTTGGAACTGACAGGTTGCTCGAGTTTATTCATCGTTTCCTCAAGCATAAAGGTGGTGGAATAGAGCTCAACAGTGGAGGTTTTATGGGTATTATGACTCATACTGTGGTACTCTATTATGAGGGAATTAAGTCAAGGTCAGAATACGTGTATCTGTAGACACACCTCTGCCATACCTCCATTTCTGTGATCTCCAACCCAAACAAATACCTGGCTGGCCGGCTGGCACATAGCCTATGTTTCCCGTTCAAGGTCAGATAAAGAGAAAAGTGCATAAAAAGGGAATTAAGTTCCATTTACGTGCGCGTAACTCGGGTCTGAATTCTCCCCGAGTTGCACTGTGGCTGATGTTAAAATGTATGCAAACTAAAGTAAATCACATTTAACACATACAGTATAACATATATAAAAAAATCTTGATATTAATTTTGTTATTCATACTACAATACAATATCTGACTGAAATGTGCTACAGATGTAGGATCTTAATTTGAGCCAGTTTGCTAGTGCAGGGAAAAATATCCTGCAGCAACAGGAAATGTGAATTATTATGTTGATTATAATTAATGTAAATTTTTGAAGGGGTTGATAGATTTTTCGTAAGGGAAAATCAAGTCTGACATTTCAAAGTGGAAATTACAAACTTCAGAAGCCTTACAGAGGCCTCCTGTAGCTCAGTTGGTAGAGCATGGCGCTTGCAAGGCCAGGGTTGTGGGTTCGTTTCCCACGGGGGGCCAGTATGAAAAATGTATGCACTCACTAAACTGTAAGTTGCTCTGGATAAGAGCGTCTGCTAAATTACTAAAATGTAAAACGTTATTAAACCTCAGTTATCCTGCAACAGGGTGATGAAATTAAGATTGTACTACAACAGAAGAAAATATAATCAAAGTTATGGAAATACAGTGCCTACAGAAAGTATTCACACACCTTGATTTTTTCCACATTCTGTTGTGTTACAGCCTGAATTTAAAATTGATTAAATTGAGATTTTGTCACTGGCCTACCCACAATATCCCATAATGTCAAAGTGGAATTATGTTTTTAGATTTTTTTAACAAATTAATTACAAATGAAAAGCTGAAATGTCTTGAGTCAATAAGTATTCAACCTCTTTGTTATGGTTCAGGAGTAAACATTTGCTTAACAAGTATTTTGAATGACTACCTCATCTCTGTACCCCACACATACAATGAATTATCTGTAAGGTCCCTCAGTCGAGCAGTGAATTTCAAACACAGATTCAACCACAAAGACCAGGGAGGTTTTCCAATGCCTCGCAAAGAAGGGCACCTATTGGTAGATACAAAATTACAATTAAAAAGCAGACATTGAATATCCCTTTGAGCATGGTGAATTAATTACACTTTGGATGGTGTATCAATACACCCAGTCACTACAAAGATAAAGGCGTCCTTCCTAACTCAGTTGCCGGAGAGGAAGGAAACTGCTCAGGGATTCACCATGAGGCCAATGGTGACTTTAAAACAGTTACAGGGTTTAATGGCTGTAATAGGAGAAAACTGGCATTGTTGTTACTCCACAATACTAACCTAAACGTCAGAGTAAAAAGAAGGAAGCAAGTACAGAATAAAAGTATTCCAAAACATGCATCCTGTTTGCAAGAAGGCACTAAAGTAAAACTGCACAAAATGTGGTAAAGAAATTAACTTTATGTCCTGAATAAAAAGCTTTATGTTTGGGGCAAATCCAACACAACACATCACTGAGTACCACTCTTCATAGCATGGTGGTGGCTGCACAATGTGATGGGTATGCTGCTTGTCATCGGCAAGTACTAGGGAGTCTTTTTTAAATAAAAATAAACGGAATAGAACCTGGTTCAGTCTGATTTCCAACAGACACTGGGAGACAAATTCACCTTACAGCAGGACAATAACTTAAAACACAAGGCCAAATATACAGTGGAGGTTCTTACCAAGATGACATTGAATGTTCTTCAGTGGCCGAGTTACAGTTTTGACTTAAATTGTTTTGAAAATCTATGGCAAGACTTGAAAATGGCTGTCTAGCAATGATCAACAACCAACTTGACAGAGCTTGAAGAATTAAAAAAATAAAACAGTGCAAATATTGTACAATCCAGGTGTGCAAAGCTCTTAGAAACTTACCCATAAAGACTCACAGCTGTAGTAGCTGCCAAAGGTGATTCTAACATGTATTGACTCAGGGGTGTGAATACTTATGTAAATTAGATATTTCTGTATTTCATTTTCAATCATTATGCAAAAAAGTCTAAAAACATG